ACTATTAATGTTGCCTTTAAAATGTTATAAAGCTGGGGGCTGGTGAGATGGCTCGGTGGTCTAAAGCACCTACTTAGAACAAGCTAAGCTAAGCAGAGCACAGGGACCGCGGTTCAATCCCCCAGCACCACATGCCAGCCAGCCCCGCCCCCTGGTGGGCTGAGCTGGCCACACACAGACACAAATAAATAAATATTTAAAAAAAAAAAAATATAGCTGTTGTTAAATATTTGAAAGGATAGGAAGAATCCAGGTGTGGTGGTGCTCACCTGTAATCCCAGCACTCTGGAGGCCAAGGCAGGATGATTATGAGTTCTAGACTAGTATGGAGTACATAGGGAAACCTAATCTCAACAAAAACCATAAAACATAGCTCAGCAGATTAAAGCACTTGCTTAGGCAGATGCAGGGACAAGGGTTTGATCCCAGGTGTGCCGAGCCAGCCGCCCCCCCAGGGCGCACTGAGACAGCAATATAGACTGAGTGTGGTGGCGTTGGCATGTGCCTATAATCCCAGCACTTGAGAGACTGAAAACAGGATTACTATAAGTCTGCTCTGTGTAGTGAGACCCTGTACCAAATACAAAAAAAAAAAAAAAAAAAAAACAAAATAGCTGAAACAAACTTGGTGTGTCTCATATCTGAATACTTGTGTATACATAGAATAGGGCTCTTCCTTTTTTTTTTTTTTAAGGTCATACAGGTTTCTTTAAGTTCCCAACCTAGTCTCCAACTCCTGGGCACAGGGATCCTCTGACCTCATCTCTGGAGGAGCTGGGACTATAGGGAGATGCTGCAGTTCTGTTTCCTGTTTCTTTAGTAATGGCCACCTCCATCTTCAAGTTGAAAGACTGCTGTGTGCCACAAGAGTGCTCTGTTGGGTTAGGTAGCTGTGTAGCTCAGTGATGGAGTACTTGCCAGCATGTGGGTGTCCTGGATTCAGTCCTCAGCCGTGCAAAATCAAAATCCAACAATTTCATTTCAGACAGAGGTAAAGCCTTGTCCCTTCCTTTTAAGGAAGTTCTGGGCATTGTACTTGCCACTCAGAGCCTATGGGGTGCAGTATGCCCACATCTTCACACTTAGCAAGAAGGGAGATGAGGCCTCACCTTGATTCCTGCTAGCTATAGGCAGGCTGCAGCTGGGGTCGTGTTACTAACGAAGGCCACCGAAGGACTTGGTTTGTAGGGCACTGTTCTGCTTGTTATTGTGCAGAGGTGATTTTCTTTTCTTTCTTTTTTTATACCTAAATTTGATGTAGAATATTGCTATCATCTCAGAAGCTGCCAGCTCGGGTATTTCGTTACAAGCAGATCGCAGAGCTAAAAATCAAAGGCGAAGAGTTCATATGACTCTAGAATTACCCTGGAGTGCAGATAGAGCAATTCAACAATTTGGTAAGTTTCTGCACTGAATTTCACTTGGTAAATGGCTGGAAATCATTGGAGAAATGTACGCATATGAATGTCAGACATTTTAGAATGTGCTACCTTAACTATTGTATTTAACATTGGATGTGATTTTAAAATGCATTGCAGTATGAATTCTTTTTTTTTTTTTTTTAGAACCAGGGATTGAACTCAGGCCCTTGCGCTTGCCAGGGAAGTGCTTATTCCACTGAGCCATCTCCCTGGCCTTTTTTTATTTTATTTTATTTTTAACATTTTTATTTAGTGTGTGTGTGTGTGTGTGTGTGTGTGTGTGAGTGTTTTTTTTTTTGCGGAACCAGGGATTGACCTCGGGCCCTTGCGCTTGCCAGACAAGCACTTATTCTACTGAGCCATCTCCCTGGCCCCTCTGTGCTATATTAATGGGCATTACTGTGAATGCCTGAAGCATGGTAGAGATTGTGCCCATCTTCAGGTGCTCTTGCTGTAGACTTTGTGTCAGTGTTGGGGTGGGACCAGGCTCCTGTGGTGCTGAACAGTGCTGTGGGCCCAGCTGCTCCCCTCCTCCTCCTAGCCCTGGATGATTATTAATTGAACTCAGCTGTTTGGGCTTCACATCTGTGCTTCTGCCTCTAGCTGGATAATTCTAAGCACTTAACTTAGGAGATTGTTTGAAAAGTAGATAATAGCAAGAATTTAACCCTTCCAAACAGCAAGAATTTAACCACTTTACCCTTGTCTTATATCTCAGAACTTTTTTGCCTCTGAAACTGGAGAATTTGATAGGTCTTACTTTTTTTTTTTTTTTTTTTTTTGCGGAACCAGGG